TCATTTACCTCTTGTCAAATCCTGCGATATATCATGCAATCCTGATAACTTACACCAAAATCGTGCCAACTGTGACTCATTGCTCTAGAATTTCAGAAAGTCTTCCCTACTGTAACCTGCCTAAACTTGAAGTTTCCTCATTTCCAAATCGTATTTCATGAAAAGAGGCCCTAGAATGTAGTCTTCTTGAGGTAAGTACGTCATCTTTCTTAAGATACTGTCATAAGGTTAAAATAATAAGGATATCCCAGAGCCTAACCGTGGTTAAAGACGGAAGGAGGAATTGGATTTTATTTAGAACAGTTTCTCATGTGAATAAATGTTTACCTAAGGTAGTAAGCCAGGGAAGTTCCCTCAAAAATTTGGAGAGGAGACAGGAAAAGGGGCAGATCAGAAAAACAGGAAGGACATAATTTAACTTCCAATTTTAAGTTCTGTGCTTGTGTATATGAATTCCAGACCTGATGCAAGTGCACAGGTTATAGGATCAAAGCATCCGTCTTTTTCTAGAGTAAGTTTATTATTCATCCCTGCATTGCAGCATCTAAGTACAGAGCCACAAATACATTTGTTGTGTTGAAAAATCATTTTTGTATGACTAGTCTCTTAAGAAGTAGTTTATTGATCAAGGTAAAATAGGGCCCAAATTAAAATTTTGACAGTTCAGAGAGAAATAGTGCTAATAATATTGCAAATAGTACAGTACTAAGACAAAATGGTTAGAATACAAAGCAGTATCTGTGGGCTTCAGTTTTCACTCCATCTTTAACTAGTCAGTAGTGATTTGAGACACTACTCACACTATTGTCCTTAGTTTCCTTTTTTTTTTTTTGTAAATGAGGATGTTAAATCTCTGGACTTTTTTCTAATTTATAAATCGTCAGTTCTCTCTTAGATTAAGAAATAGGTTTTCCAAAATACTTTCATTCTACTTCCGTTTGTTTAAGTAAACTTTAGGTGAATTATATCTTGTGGGAAAGATAAAGAATGCTCATTCTTTTCTAGGATTTAATAATTGAATTAACCTTCACTACATCTCTAAAGATGGTAGAGAAGAGATAATCTAACATTTAAGGAACACATAAACTTTTCACCTTCATTTCATTCTCCACAAAAGCATTATAAAGTGAAAATATTCTCCAATTTACAGTTAAGGAAACTGAAACTCAGAGAACTCAAGTAACATGCCTAAAGCCATAGAGCAGGTAGGAACTGGGCAGTGCCAGCCTCTGCTCTTGAGGTCTATCTGATTTAAAAGCCTGTGTGGGCCAGGCGCGGTGGCTCAAGCCTGTAATCCCAGCACTTTGGGAGGCCGAGACGGGCGGATCACGAGGTCAGGAGATCGAGACCATCCTGGCTAACAAGGTGAAACCCCGTCTCTAAACTAGCCGGGCGAGGTGGTGGGCGCCTGTAGTCCCAGCTACTCGGGAGGCTGAGGCAGGAGAATGGTGTAAACTCGGGAGGCGGAGCTTGCAGTGAGCTGAGATCCGGCCACTGCACTCCAGCCTGGGCAACAGAGCGAGACTCCGTCTCAAAAAAAAAAAAAAAAAAAAAAAGCCTGTATGACTGAGGTCCATAGAACCAGGAGACTTCCTCAATTTTGTAGTAAATCCATATTTTTGGGCCCAGGAAGAAAACCCAAGGTTTTTGGTTTGTTTGTTTGTTTTTGGAATAGAGTATAAACTCAGGCTGAGGGCAGGATGCAGGAAAATATCCTTCTGTAAAATAACTTTCTATGCCAGAACTAGATTATCAGAGTTTAAAAATGATGAAAAATACAATTGAGCTTGTTGTATTTACAATTTTTTATTAAATTCTTGTAACACACTTAATATTTTCTAGAGAATATATCAGAATGAATGTATTCTATACACTAGAAATTGATGAAACATTTTTATGAGTATAGATTTTATTTTTCCAGATTATTGAGGTATAATTGACAAATAAAAATTGTATATATTTAAGGTATACAAGATGCTGACTTGATTGAAACTCTGTTTTTTCCAAACTACAGATCCTAGCCTCTCCAACTTCCTAACACTGCCGCTCATGTACATGATATCGGGAGTATGATGGGGTCTTAATCTCAAACTTTATTTCTTCTTATAAAAAGTAATTTTCTTATCTAGAAATAATATGGAATACTATCTTAGATGGGAGTACACCACTTTATTCTCCCAAGGCTCCTCTACACATGCACTGTACTGCCGTTTGATTTAGGAGAGAAATTTTTTCCCTCTGAACTTCCCTCGTGCTTTTTTTTCTATGTTCTGAGTTTGTGTTGACTTTCAGCCTTCCGTTCCTTTTGTTGTATTTGACCTGGTGCCAAATGAAAGTCAGCACTTAAGTTATGAGTATCATTTTCTAACACAGTGACAGAAGGAAAACTCCGCCTTCCACACCCACTACTAATTACCATATTGCTACAAAACATGACATTGCATCCTTCACCCATCACTTGTGAATTTTTGTTTTCCACAGCTCTTATTTCTCCAAAAATGTGTTTGAGCCACTTGGAAAATATGCCTTTAAGTCATTCAAGAACTCAAGGAGCTCAGAGATCATCCTGGAAGCTGTGGCTCTTTTGCTCAATAGCTATATTCCTTTTTCTTTGCTCCTTCAGTTGGCTAATCTTTATTTTTCTCCAACTAGAGGTAAGGAGGCAATTGTACCTAAGATTGCTATTTGCTATAATCCTCTATTTGTTTTTCTAGTTATTATCATTGTCACTCAGTATTGTTAGCAATAGTTGGAAGGAAGAGATGTGTATACATAATGTAAATACAATTCTAATATTGTCATGACATGGCTTTTGAAGTTTAGCTAAAGGTTTTGAGATAAAAGGTATCAGAAAATGATAATGTTAGATGCAGAACTCAGTTAGATAGAGAGAATTGGTTAAGCCAATTGACAGGGGCCTGTGGAGTATTTTTCTCTCCCTCTTCTATAGCTCTTGGTAGAATAAAAAAGGTAAAAATATGAATGAATATCAAGGAATGGGATGAAAGCTATAGTCTTATTTATGGAAAAGACTTAAAAAAATAGTGAAAGATGGGATTAAGTAAATGACAGGTGGTTTGTGTGTCTTTGAGGAGGGAAGTGGCCCTGAGCTAGGTGTAAGAATATCTGGATTCTGGTTCTGGGTCTCCCTAATAACCAGCTGTATAAATTTGATAAAGACATTTAATCTCTCTAGTTTGCAGATTCTTTATCTAAAAAAAAAACTGGTGGTAGGAGAATGGATTTATTATGATGTTTCTTCTAGCTATAAAATGCAGTGATTAAGAATTTATTTAGGGATAGTATGAAGAATAAATGCCTAAGCCATTCAAAAGCAGGGAACAATGACTTTAGGTTGAGTTGATCAGGGGAGACTTCATGGAGGAAGGGGAAAGCCCATATCTATTTGGGAAGCCCCTGATGCTTGTCAGGAATTTCCCACTGAGATGCAGGCCAAGTTGTGGGCCTAGAGAATGGGATGGTACACTGGGAATGGAGATAAGTTTGGTTCTTTACTAAAGAAACTTTCCTCACAGTTGACCATATAGCACTGACCAAAAAGAAAATAAGAAATGCTTTATTTATTTCAGGATTTAGCCTATTTCTGGTTAAATTGTAAGACTCGAAGTTTTGGGTAGAATAAAGTGGTATATGTCCATCTTGAGAAAGGGTTGAAATGTAACTGCAGAAACATTTTTCTTAAGGGAACTGATCAGCGAAGATTTCAAAGATATAGTTCTACCACTTAAGATAAGTAAAAGTAATTGAGAAAAGATGCAGGAGGAAGCAGTCTCCTATGGATATTAATTTCGAGTAGGTATAGCTGTGGCCAATTTTTCCACAGTAGCCCATTAATTTGTATTTCATAACTGTATACAAGGCTTATGTGCAACAGAGGCATTTCTAATTACAACCCTGCTCTCTCAAGAAATGTATCAAGCAGAAGTGTGAACTTTCTGGGTCAGTGAAGCTGAAAGAAATAATTGTCAGAAATTCTTAGTGTCTTGATTTCTGAAGAAGAGGAAGGGTGAGAATAGCAGTAACTTAAATTTGGAAGTGCTTCTTTCTTCTAAAAATTATAAGATTAATTAGCCTGATAACCCTGAAGAACACTGAATATAAGCATCATCAGCTCCTACATATGACTTGGGAATGAATGCACAGATGCCTTTCCCAAAGGCACCCAGTAGTTCTTGCAAAGGGAAAGAGAAAGTCTAATAATGCCAGATCATCTAGGACACCTCTGTTCAGAATCAAACTGGATTAGTCCCAGGTGTTTGAACTCTGATTCTGTTTTTTCTCTCCTAGATCCAGTTTCTCAGTGAAAGGTTCTGCCTCTAAAGATAACCCAGAGTTTGTTCCAAATTTAGGGAAGTATAAAATGTTTTTAGAATATTGTTCTGACAGGAAACTTGCAGGATTTGTTTCTATGGGAAAAGCCAGTGGCCTGGCCCACCATGCATGATATTAGCTTCTACATTTCACTTTTCACTTACCTGTACTTCCCTTTCCCTGTTGACCACAAATAAATATCTCTGGAAGAGAGGTCTGAAGGGCTGGCAGATAGTGAGTCACTATGATGTGGCCACTTCCACATTCTCACAATACCCATGAACCTTGAAGTTTTATTTTGGTCTCCACTCTAGTTTTTATACACAAAGTCCCACTTTCCAGATTGTCTAGACACTACTTTAAAAAGTGTACACTTAAAAAAAAAGTGTAATACTTTAAAAAGTGTTAGATGGGAAGCTTGGCTACTTGGGTCAATTTTTTTCTTTTTTTCTCTCTTCTTTGAGAAAATATTTAACTAAAAGGATAGCTGTGAGTCCAAGGAGTTTGGTCAATCCCTCAGTGAAAATAACCTCACAGGAGTTATCACTAAGAAATCACGTGTTCAGCAGAGTCTCCCGCTTCAATAAAATGAAGGATACTTTCAGAAGGGGAAGTTGTACTTGTACTTAAAAGCAGAGCAGATTTTAATTTCACTGAGGATTTGATTAGGGTTGATTTGGAGAGAGAATGATTGTTTTGGCCATTTTGAGCCCAACTATGTAAATCTAACCTTAAATCAAGATGAGGTTACAAAAGCAACTGATCCTTCTAGAAAAAATAACTAAGCGATATGTGTCTTTAAAAGTGGGTATTTACTACTTCCAAACATCAGTAGAATTATAAATAGAAACTTCTCCCACAGAGTGGTAAGGGTGAGAGTTTTGACCCAGACAGGCTGGGTGTGGATCTCATTCTTGCCTTTCATTGGCTGCATGACCTTAGGCTAGTTACTTAATGCCTCTCATCCTCATTTCCTCATCGGCAAAATGAGCAAGCTAGTTTGTATAGGGTTGTGGTAAGGATTAATGAGACAGTAGAGTATCTGACATATAGTAGGCTCCCAGTAGATGGTAGTGATTAATATTTGCCCCATTACTATTAATGAGATAATAACGGGCAAAAATTTAACAAGATCGTTTAACAATATGGATATTCTTTGCCTACCTATATCACTCTCTCAATCAAAGACACTATCTCATAGCCAAATTGATGATTTTGCAATTAGATGGATTTTTAGTGGTGGCAATAATTAGAGAGTATCACAGTGATGGTCTCTGTAGCACTAAATAGACATTAAGCAGCCTGCAGTATATTATCCAGAATTTCTGACTCTGGAAATTAGTTTGGCCTTAGGTTGTCTATGGCATTAGGTTTCTCTGAACACATCTCATACATGCTAGTAGATGGTGCAGATACTATCTGTGGCATGTATTTTGGCACTCATTCATATTTAGATTGTTACCAAATTGCTTTGGGTGTGTAATCATGTCTTTCTAGAAAGATTATAAACTTCTTGAGAGGCAAGGACCAGAAATCACATTTGTTTCTCGTGCTTACGATACTGTATAATGTTGGGAATATGTGTGCTTAAATTGTAGTTCAATTCTTCATTACAATCACCGTCATCACCCAAACAACTAATATTTATTGAACAGGTCCAGGCAGGATATCTCGGGAAAGCCCTTCTTTAAAACGACCTCATTTAACCCCAACAACTTCAACAAGCTAGGTGCTATTATTTCTCCCATTTTACAGATGAGGAAATTGGGGTTCAGGGAGTCTTTGTCATGTCCCTATCATGTGTTGAACTAAATTGAATTTCAACATCTCTTCCAGGAAACACCAAAATGAGGATGAAATAATTGCAAGAGGTCAGGCACAGTGGCTCATGCCTAGAATCCCAGCACTTTGGGAGGCTGAGGCGGGTCGATTGCTTGAGCCCAAGAGTTTGAGACCAGCCTGGGCAACATGGCAAAACCCTGTCTCTACAAAAATATACAAAAAAAATAGCTGGGCATGGTGGCATGCACCTGTAGTCCCAGCTACTCAGGGGGCTGACATGGGAGAATTGGTTGAGTCCAGGAGGATGAGGCTGTAGTGAGCTGAGATCACACCACTGCACTCCAGCCTGGGCAGTAGAATGAGACCTTGTCTCAAAAAAATAACAAGAAACAACAACAACAAAAAAAAGTGTAGGAATCAAAAAATTTATTTCCTAGAATAGTGACTTTCAGACTTTTTGATTGCACCTCCCTCTCAATAACATATTTTCAGTATAATTCCCAACATCTGTATGCTAATTATTATACCATATACAAGTACTAATAATATGTACACTAAAGAGATACACAAAATATATATTTATAAGGGTGAGCCTAATATGTTTAACGTAGCTCTCATAATGCAGAACCATTTCGCTTTCACCAAAATGTTATATTTTCTATAATGCGTTAATATATAATATAAACATTTCTAAAATAAGCAAAATAATATTTTAATAATTTGATAAATGCATTTATTTTATTTTTTAATCTTAACACTTTGTGATACAGCAATTTGAAGTTTGATATGTTAATTTACCTTGTTTCATGATTTTAGTGTCATGACTGAAAAATTACCTGACAAACAAATACAGATTAAAATGGAAGAACATATCTTTGGATATTCTTAACATGTCATACCACTTAATTTTCAATCCATCATTCAATGATGGATGCCTCTCTTTCTTTCCATACACAACTAACTTCCAAGATCTATAGCTTTAACACCTCCTTCATATAAACTCACCCACTTGCTTGTGTCTATCTCCATTGTATTCTAATGACAAAAGTTCGACTATGGAAAACCTCCAATGCTGATTAAATCCAACTGCTCTGTGTCTTTCACTGTTGAATATATCTGAAGAAAAACATACAACTTGTTGAAAGGTCTTACTTTAAATTCACAGCCACTGCCTTCAAGTGGATTTCAGTGTTGCTCTCGAAACAACCCACGTTTCCCGTCCATTCACTCTCCTCTACTGGATGATTTCACATCTTTAGCTTCTCTTCAAACATCTAATAACTCTTCCCCATTCACATTCTCCACTGATAACGTTGCCTCCATATTTCAAGAGAAAATAGAAGTAGGGAGGAAAGAAGTTCCAGTATCAACAACTCGTTGGCATTTGTATCCAGGTATATTCCTGTTCTCCCTTATCACTGTGGATAAATTGCCCATACACCTATCCAAGCCATCTATGAACTAAATCTTATCCTATCTTAACTACTCAGGGACATTGCTGCAACAGTTCTCTCCTTGCTCTTACATATTATGCCTCATCCATTTTACAGAAACGTTTCCATCAAATGGCAATAGAAAAACATGTTGTCATTTCTCTCATATTAAAACATAACAACAACAACAACAACAACAAAAACCTCTTTGATCTCTCATCATCATCCAAACTCCACTCATTTTTTTCTGCTCTCCCTACAGCAATATTCTTCCAGCTTCTCTTTTCCCATTTACCCTTAAATTTATTCTAAGTTTCTGCCTTCTTCACATATGACAGAAACTAATTTTGTCAAGAACTCCAGTGTCTACCATGTTTCTCAATCTATCAGTCAATTCACTGTACTCTTCTTACTTGATCTATTGACAGCATTTGACACCAGCTGATCACTCATCCTCCATGAAATACTTTCTTTTCTTGGCTTCCAAACATCAGACTCTCCTAGTTTCCTTTCAGACTCAACTTTTCCTTTCTATTGTCCCTTGCTTGTTCTTTCTCATTCTCTGACCTCTAAACATCACAACGCCCCAGTATTCCTCTCCATCCACACCCACTAACTTGATGGTCTCACACAATCTCACTCCTTAAAGCATCACTTAGGAACTTAAGGCTCCTAAATGTATATCACCAGAGCTCCTTAAATTTCAGCCTCCTGTATCCAACTGCCTGCTTGACACACTTACCTGGATTTATAATAAGCATCACAAACTTAACATGTCCAAAACCAAACTCATGATTTTTCCCCTCCCTATTTATTCCTCTTACATCTTATCCATATTAGTGGATAATTATCTTTCCAATTATGCAGGCCTAAAATACCTGGAGTCATCTTTGTCTCTTCTCATTCCCTACCCCATATCCATGTCGGGAACTTCTCTTGGCTTTATTTTCCAACCAAGTATCACCATCTCCACAGCTAGCACCTTGGTCAGAGGCACCATGCTCTCTTGCCTAGATGAATGACTGTAATGATCTCTTAGCTAGTCTCACTACATTTGTCCTTGCTTCTGTTTAATTTGTTCCTAGTATAGCAGCCAGAGAAATCTTACAAAAGGAAAATATGCAACATCTTTAAGTTCAAAAAGTCTTTTAAGCACTTTACCATTAGGAAACCAACAAACTTTGGATGATACAAAAAATGTTTGTGGTTATGCCTTAATTTATACAAAGTCTTTTTGAGCATTTAGCATTTAACTACCTGTATTTGTAAAATTAACCACACACTGATGGCATCTTGTAGCATGTGAACTGCCATATATTGCAATAGCCTGAAACTTGGAACTGTTTTTCAGGGTATCTCAGATACTGTATATGACATTTAGTTATCTAAGTATTATACATGGGTGGCTTCATCAGTCTGAGTTGTGAATATTTCTAGGGCTTAATTTACTGTTTTAAATAAAAATAAACATAAACAGAAGCTTCATTATTTTCCTTTCCCGTGCCAATAGATAACCTTGTTCAGTCACTGGGGTGTGGAAACTGCTTTTTGTTGAAAAACTTTTAGAGTCCAAGGCTGCGGGGGCGGGGGAAGGGGGTGTCCAATATCAAATAGTTGTACTTTAGGTATAGATTAGGTAATGGAATTAGATCTTGACCTTTGTCTAAAACACCCAAAGGGGAAGCTACGTAATAAAAGGTAAAGGATGGAGCCACTCAACTTTAAAGGGAAGCTGAGAGGGCTGAGGCATGTTGAAGGGAGGGTTTTTTTTATGGTTATAGAATAGTAGTTTGCTTCAGGAATCCAAAGCTCTAAATAAATCAATCAAAAAAGTTAATGACACTGTCATCATCCTAATCAATTCATCTTTTCTTTCCCCAACAGACTGCTAAAGAGCCCTGTATGGCTAAGTTTGGTGAGTAACCTATCGTGCATGTCTCTCTTTTACTTTTCTTAGTTTTTGATGAAAGAAGGCAGGTGTCAGTGATCTCAAGAAAACCTGTATTTTCTTCCATTCATTTTTCAGCTACTACATATAATTACTTAACATATACTGGGCAGTTTCCCAAGAGCTGAGGCTTTCAGAGGTAAACCAGGCAAAAGAAGCCCATGTCCTGATAAAGCTTATATTGAAGGCTGCATCTCTAGCCAGGAATGAACATCTCTCTTACTGACCTATGAATCTGAGATCTAGGAATCTGTTTTTAATTCTGTGTTTTAATAAACACAACAAGTTTCAGATTTCTACAACCTTTCCTAAAAGTCTTTCTCACGTTTCACACGTTGCTAATGTCCAGTGGAGTATATGAGAGAGTGCCATTGTTGTTTCTAAATGTATAAAAGAGCAATGAGAGTTGGAAGAGTGGCCATTTCCTCTACTCCTTTCTCTTCTAAGCTTAGCTTCTGAGTCATTTTCCCTTGTAGTCACCTGATATTTGCTTAGAAAACACACCACAGTTTGCAGTTACACTGAGACTTAGACTCTTAGAATGCGTGCAAAATTTCAGATAAATACATTTTTTAAAGTTGTTTATAAGCTTCAGGCCAAACATACATTTTCAGTTGAGAACAGACCATTTCTAGAGTTAACTCTGCAACCCCTGTGTTCCTATATAGTTTAAACCAGTAGGTTTCCTTGGCTTGTGGGAATTAGACAATTTCCTTTTGCTTGTCTCTTTCTTTGTGTTTTGTTTTTGTTTTGCCAGTAAGTGGAATGGAATGCATGGCATGTGTGAAATTCTGCCTTGATGTGGTAAAAGTTGAGAAACTCAAGTGATGCTAAGGTGGTTTTTAAGTGACCCCCTTTCACAGAATTAAATAGGAAAGTCAATGACACCTCTTTCTGGTGACCTGCCTATTGCCTATTACATGTCAAGGAAGAAGAAATTTACTGGACTCTGAGCTCATTGGCGATACAGGGTGACTTTGCCTTTTGTTCTAGTGATCTCTCTTTTGTTGTCCCCCAGAATCTACCTTCAGAGTCTTACATTAGTCATTCATATGAATGAGAATTGAAGTAAAAATGTTACCTCTTCCAGGGTGCTTTCTCATCAAGTTTTCTTTTTTAATTACGGGACAAAGGACAAAAATTACGGAGAATTGCAGAACAGATAAGCATTCTGGGTAGTAAAAGCACCTCCTGGGGCTGTGAGATCACACTGATGTGCAAAACCAAGTAAACAAACATTTAAATTTCATATGTGCTAATGAAAATGAATGATTAGGTCTTTACCCTTCTTTACTCGTTGGGACAGTATTGTGCTAGGGATCCTTATATTTAAATAGTCAAGTTATTTCTATTTATAAACTCATAAATTTACCATTAGCTATTTTTGGGGGGTTTATTTAATGAATCCTAAGTAGGTCTTAAATTATATATACCTACAAACTGAGGAGAAGAGTCATAATTTAGACACAAAGCACCTAATTCAGGAACATGGAAGTATCATTCAATCAATAAATATTTATGGAACATCTACCAGGTACCAGGGACATTTTCAGGTGCTGAAAATACAGGAATGAATAAAATAGAGATATATTTGTCCTAAAAAATTTTACATTCAAGGTGATACAAGATGGAAAATAAACAAATGAACAATTTAGTTTATAACATCCTAGACACTGACACACTTTATGAAGAAAACTCAAGCAACGTAAAAGGAGAGAGTGATAGGAGAACACTTCTTAATATAGCTTAATTAAGGAAAGCCTCACTGATAAAGTGATAAACAGCCGATGGTATTCACACAGAAAATGCATGGAAAAGCATGGACTGCCAACCCTGGTTTTCAAAATTTTGGCTTGTGATTTCTTTCTCCATTAGTCTTTTCTTCTCCTTTCTATTTCCCACAAATATTAATCGACAAGAGATGCTGAGTCACCTAACTCATTTTTCTATTCCAAATTCTTTTCCTTAGAATGCTCCAAGCAAGAAACACTCTTTGGATTTTCAATTTCTCTAAAACAAGGAGTAGATAGGTACTTAAAATAGAAAAATTCTGCTAGAAGAGAACTAGTGTAGATCAGGTAAAGAAACAACATGTACGTGGTAAATCTACAATCTGGAAAAGGATGAAATAATGAAATAACTATGCTTTCATCTTTTTTCTCCCTTGTATATTTCTTATAGGACCATTACCCTCAAAATGGCAAATGGCATCTTCTCAACCTCCTTGCGTGAATAAGGTGTCTGACTGGAAGCTGGAGATACTTCAGAATGGCTTATATTTAATTTACGGTCAAGTGGCTCCCAATGCAAACTACAATGATGTAGCTCCTTTTGAAGTACGGCTGTATAAAAACAAAGACATGATACAAACTTTAACAAACAAATCTAAAATCCAGAATGTAGGAGGGACTTATGAATTGCATGTTGGGGATACCATAGACTTGATATTCAACTCTGAGTATCAGGTTCTAAAAAATAATACCTACTGGGGTATCATTTTACTAGCAAATCCCCAATTCATCTCCTAGAGACTTGATTTGATCCCATTCCCTTCAGCACATGCAGAGGTGCCAGTGGGTGGACTGGAGGGAGAAGATTTTCAATTTCTAGGGTCTGTCTGTCTACAAAAATCAATGCAAACAGAACTCCTCTGTATGTGAATTTTCATCTATCACGCCTATCTGAACGAGACTCAGAGGAAGAGCCAAAGACTTTTGGTTGGATCTGCAGAGATACTTCATTAATCCATGATAAAATGAATATGGATGACAGAGGACATGTGCTTTTCAAAGAATCTCTGTCTAAATCTTGAATTCGTGAGTGGAAAAATGGAGTTCTATTCCTTTGGAAGTTTTACCTGGTATGCAAAAAGGATCTGGGACAGTAGCCTGACTTTGTTCTCATATTCTTGGGCTGCTCTAATTCATTCTTCTCATACTCCCGTCTTTTGAGGTCCTCCTAATAGAAAGTAGACTGATAGGATGGCCACAGATATGCCTACCATACCCTATTTAGATATGGTGGTGTTAGAAGATAAAGAACACTCTGAGAACTATTGGAATAGAGGTACAAGTGGCATAAAATGGAATGTACGCTATCTGGAAATTTCTCTTTGTTTTATCTTCCTCAGGGTGCATGGTGCTTTAAAAAGCCTTAACAAGGAGTCATTCCGAACCCTCACGTAGAGCTCTGTGAGAACTTACTGTTGGTGTGTGTGTTTAAACATTGCTAATTGTAAAGAAAGAGTAACCATTAGTAATCATTAGGTTTAACCCCAGAATGGTATTACCATTACTGGATTATGTCATATAATGATTTAGTATTTTTAGCTAGCTTTCCACAGTTTGCAAAGTGCTTTCATATAACAGGTAGCAATTCTATGAAGTTAATTGGGCAGGCATTTGGGGGAAATTTTAGTGATGAGAATGTGGTAGCATAGCATAGCCAACTTGCCTCAAATCATAGGACAAGTGACTACAAGAGGCAATGGGTTGTCCACTGCATTGCACTGTTTCAGCTTTAGAATTGTTACTTCTGCTATTGTGTTATAAGACTCTAAAATTTAGCAAAGTAACTTTTCAAGAAGCGTATTCCCCTTTAGCCCAAGGTGAGCAGAGTGAAGCTACAACAGATCTTTCCTTTACCAGCAAACTTTTTTTTTTTTTTTTTTTTTTTTTTCCCTGCCTGGATCAGGGAAACCCAGGATGCTGCTCAGGCCTTATACCAACCAAATTCCCCTCTTCACTTTGCAGAGCCCATCTTAGTAATCTTACTCAAATGCGCTAACTTCTAAAAATAATAAATAGCACTAATTCAAAATTTTGGGGCTCTTAAATTAGCTACTTGCAGGTTCTTGTTGAAAGGTATGTATTGCATTGTAAACAAATTTAAAATATTTATGGGTATTGTGAAAAGCTGAATTATGTTAAATAATATTACATGTAAAGCTATTTAAAAGAATTTTTTTTTTGTATTTTGTGTAACAAAAATTGCTCAGGAGCATGCTAAGCCTGAGGCCAAGTTGTTTCTTAGTAAGTCTTTTTTAAAAAACATCTGCTGAGTAGCTACAGGGCCAAAGACTTGGAGAGCTTGTTTCTGTTGCATTTGCATATCTTCTCAGGAAATTAAAGTGTGTCATATACATATATATACACATATAAAATCTTGGTGTTCTTGATCTTTGTTGTGTTATAAGCAATTGGCAATATGTGCTGGAGTGGGCTGGTGCTAGCTTATAAGTGCGTATTATTAACTTTTCAGTAATGTTGCATTCTGGTTATTAATTATAGGCATTCTTGAAATTGGCTATGGTGGGAGTATTTGTACCATGTAAATTGGCAAACACTACACATTTTCCTTTTGGACAGCTAGTTCACCAGCACACCACTGTGAAACTCTCCTTAATGACTCCTCTCTGCCCCCGCTTCATTCCTGCTAAGGTAGAAAATGAAATTGTAAAAGTTTGGCATACTGGTGATTTCTCAGGGCAAGCAGAGGTCACTGCAGCTGCAGCTACAGGGATGACTACCAAAAGGTGACCTTTAAATTTTCCTGGTGTCATAATTTTAGCCTTTGTTTTCAATGTATACTGTTTTCCTGTTTCTCCACATACTAGTTTGCATTTTAAATCTATAATAAAACATGCTGATAACTGGATTGCAGCTGATTTATCTGTGGGTCATCAGACTAGAGTTAGTAATCCAGGGAACACAAAGGTACATCACAGAAATCTTTGCCCATGTGAAACACTGTTTGGCAAGTGTTAAGCAGAAGTGAGAGCTGGATGCAACTGGCTTTTCATCATAGCTGTTCCCATTTCTGATGAGTTAGTCAGACAGTTTCACTTTCTGACTTTCACCTATCTCCTTTTCTCCACCCTGCCCACATTCACCATCAAAGTCATTGTGAACCCTTCTCACACTGTTTTTACCTTCCATTTTGCCCCATCAAACAAGAGCATGCTATATGACTGTGGATTAAGTCTCTGCTTGTGAACACGGCAGCTAATTGAAAAGCGATGTAATCTAGTCAACAAACTCCTTAGATGAAGTGTATCTTGAAAATGAAGTTCCTGCCTTTGTGTTCCATCCCAATTAGGCAATTTCATTTGGGAGGACATATTTTTATTAGAGAGAAGGAGAAGCAAAAATCTGATTGACCGACAAGTTAACAGTTTAAAGATTTACATCAGGTAGAAGCTACAAATGATGCTTTGGCACACATTTACTCTTTGATCCAAAAGGATGCATGCCTATTCTAGGGTTTACTTCTAGTTCTGTGACAGTCACTCCACTGATTATGACTCTTCCATGAGTCTCCCACCTATGCATAGGAAATTTGTACACATGCTTTGCCCCTACAAACTAAGAGAGTGTGAACCCACCTCAATGTAGCAAGATTCTCCTGTTTCCACTACCAAGCAGTTGGCCTTTTTTTTCCAGATAGATTTTCTGGGTGGGGTCAGACTAGTTCAGTATCAGCTTTAGCTATATCAGGTGGAGGCAGGCAACAGTTCTTTGTATCTCCTAATTGCAAGAAATATTTTTCAAAGCTACTTTAGAAATTCCCTTGAAGTTCCCTTACCATACTTCGGGTTAGAAAGTTTCATTTCTCCCAGTTCTTCCTGCGAAGGAAAGTGGGTAAGGACTCACAGAAGGGCCACAGCTCTAAGTGTTGTCATCGATACCTTCTTCTCCCTCTTCCGGCCTTTATCTTGTTTTTTTTTTTTTTTTTTTTTGACAGAATCTCACTCTGTCGCCCACGCTGGAGTGCAGTGGCTCGCTGCAGCCTCTTCCTCCCAGGTTCAAGCAATTCTCATGCCTCAGCCTCCTGAGGAGCTGGGACTACAGACTCCCACCACCATGCCTGGCTAATTTTTGTATGTTTAGTAGAGATGGGGTTTCATCATATTGGCCAGGCTGGTCTCGAATTCCTGGCCTCCAGTGATCCACCCACCTTGATCTCCCAAAGTGTTGGGATTACGGGCATGAGCCACAGCGCCCGGCCCTTATTTGATCTTTCATCTGGGTGAAATGTTTGCAAGTGAGTGGAGGGAGGGAACTTACTTCTCTTTATAAATTCTACATATTGCAGGAGGAGGAATTGTCTTACTCTCACTTTGGTAACCAGGTACCAATCATACTGTGTCTGCATTGAAACTGTCAACAAGAGTCAGATTTTAACATTGAGTTTTACTTATATGTCTAAAGGGAATATTAAGGGCTTGTAATAAAATGCAGGAATACAAAAACCTCCGAACCATCATCACAGAATCAATAATAAAACAGAGCTAAATGAAAGGTAGAGGGAGAAGAAAACCATTGTTTAGAAAAGTTAGACATAAGAACATTCTTACTAATTAACATAAAACATTGCTCCTAATATCTTGATAGTCAAGAAAAATTAGAAAAAAAAATGCTATGTGTTGTGTCTTGGAGTGATAGCTCAGCTAAATGTTTTGAACTCCTTAAAGTTGTTTACTGCTGTCACAGACCAGTAAATTCAAATAAGATAAATGTAAGAACTGGCCGGGTGCAGTGGCTCATGTCTGTAATCCCAGCACTTTGGGAGGCCGAGGCGGGCGGATCAAGAGGTCAGGAGATCGAGACCATCCTGGCTAACACGGTGAAACTCCGTCTCTACTAAAAATGCAAAAAATTAGCCTGGCATGGCGGCAGGCGCCTGTAGTCCCAGCTACTTGGGAGGCTGAGGCAGGAGGAGAATGGCGTGAACCCGGGAGGTGGAGCTTGCAGTGAGCCGAGATAGTCCCAGTGCACTCCAGCCTGGGCGACTGAGCGAGACTCTGTCTCAAAAAAAAAAAAAAAAAAAAAAAGATAAATATAAGAACTTTAGAACTTTAGGAGGCAGAGGCAGGCAGATCACGAGGTCAGGAGATAGAGACCATCCTGGTAAAACAGTGAAACCCCGTCTCTACTAAATATACAAAAAATTAGCTGGGCATGGTGGCATAGGCCTGTAGTCCCAGCTACTTGGAAGGCTGAGGCAGGAGAATCGCTTGAACCTGAGAGGTGGAGGTTGCAGTGAGCCAAGATAATGCCACTGCACTCCAGCAGTCTAGCCTGGCCAACAGTGAGACTATGTCTCAAAATAAATAAATAAATAAAATAAAAAAAGATAAATGGAAGCGTGCATTTTACTATCTTGGGCTTATTACATCTGCTTAGAGCGCAGCACTAGGAAGTAGTTTTATTCCCTTACAGAGGAAATAAAATCATTTAATCTAATTTTTTAAAGCACACTGTTTATTGGGAAAGGGAAACTTTTCCTGGTGCTGAGCTCTAAGCACATTTAATGTGCAAGATAGCAAAATGCAGACTCTTCCTTTATCTTATTTGAATCTACTGGTTTGTGATAGCAGTAGACAACTTCAAGGAGTTCAAAACAGTTTATTTGAGCTATGACTCCAAGACACAACACATAGCGGTAGAGGTGAACCCAATTATGTTGTTTGAACAAGTACATCAGAGGTTTTGTTTGACCTGCCTTAAAGAAAGAGCTTAGGAAGTGTCTGACCATAGGAAAAGAAAAATTCAATGAACAGGGTCTGTTAGATTAAACCAACTCCCTTATCTCTTCAATAACATAATCACAATGGGAATCTCAGATTTTAGTGTTCAAGGTTGATCATTTCCATCCAGCTTTGGTGTTATTCAAGGACACCACAGGAGTGGTATGCCTCTCACATAGCCTTAACAGCACACAGACTCAGTTAGACTGAGGTATACTGGTTGGTTTTAGTTTCTTAGAACGGAAGATACAGATAGTCTTTTTGTCTTCTCTCCCTGTAGTTTGGTTGTACCTCTTGTCTAACAGGCTAGGCTCTGAGAAGATTCTGATGACCTAGATTCCCACATCTGACACAGTGCCTGGCTCACAGTCCTTGATAGTCTGTTGAAAATAAATGAGTCAAAAATGTATCCGGGTGTTTATGTTAATGTATAAACAGCATTATCTTGTGCATTTTGTATGACAGAGTCCAAGGGGCAAAGCCCTCAGCCTCCCTTTCCTCACTGTCTCCCATCCCATCACTTACTGTTCACAAGTGTTCTTCCCCTTCCTCCACAAAATCTGTTCTCAGGAACACTGTTGATGTAATTAAAGAAAGGAAACTTATAAACTCACTTGCACTAAGGGAAAGTGGCTAATATACTATCTTGCCTTGCGTCATTAAAGCAGGATAGAATCCGATTTGTTTTAAACTTGCTGAATAGATGCACCAAGAAGCAACTGCCTTTACAATAACCCAAGGCAAAAACATTTATTTAATAATCAATGGCAGAGTTTTTCTTTCTTTTTCTCCTAAAGCTATCCCTCCCCTAGTCCTCCCACTCCCTGACAGGTCCTGGTGTGTGATGTTCCCCTCCCTGTGTCCATGTGTTCTCATTGTTCAACTCCCATTTATGAGTGAGAACATGCGGTGTTTAGTTTTCTGTTCCAGTGCTAGTTTGCTGAGAATGATGGTTTCCAGCCTCATCCATGTCCCTGCAAAGGACAAGAAACTCATTCTTTTTTATGGCTGCATGGTATTCCATGGTGTGTATGTGCCACATTTTCTTTATCCAGCCTATCATTGATGGGCTTTTGGGTTGGTTCCAAGTCTTTGCTATTGTAAATAGTGCTGCAATACACATGTATGAGAATGTGTCTTTATAGTAGAGTAAATTAATCTTTTTGGTACAAACCCAGTAAAGGGATTGCTGGGTCAAAGGGTATTTCTGGTTCTAGACCCTTGAGGAATTGCCACACCGTCTTCTACGATGGTTAAGCTAATTTACGCTCCCACCAACAGTGTGAAAGTGTTCCTATTTCTCCATATCTTCTCCAGCATCTGTTGTTTCCTGATTTTTTAATGATTGCCATTCCAACTGGCGTGAGATGGTATCTTATTGAGGTTTTGATTTGAATTTCTCTAATGACCAGGAATGATGA